AAAAAAAAAAAAAAAAAAAGAGGTTAGTATAAAATGGATAGGAAAACCCGATGAAGAAATCACACAGATTCATATGAAAATTGGTAACATTATAAATATAGATAATAGCCTAAATAAAATATCACTAGATGGAACCTAGCTATAAATTAAGATATCTTGGGCAAGTAGGGTGTTTTCCTCCTAGTAATTAAAGGATGATTTAACATAAAGAAACATACTGATTTAATGTATTAAACTAAAAAAGAGAAAGGATACCTCAGAGTCCAGATGACACCCCTTTCTGAGTTAAAAATAAAACAAAATAACAAAATAATAGCAACAATAAAACTACTTGTGGCGAGGGTTGGGGGGGGCTCACGCCTGTAATCTTAGCACTCTGGGAGGCTGAGGCCAATGGATAGCTTGAGCTTAAGAGTTCCAGACCAGTCTGAGCAAAAACAAGACCCCATCTCCACCACTAAAAATAGAAAAACTGAAGCAAGAAGATCACTTGAGCCCAAGAGTTGGAGGTTGCTATGAGCTATGATGCCCTGGTACTCTACCCAGGACAACAGCTTGAGACCCTGTGTCAAAAAAAAAAAACAAAAACAAACAAACAAACAAAAAACCAGAACTATTTGTACAGAACTGGAAAATAACTTTCCTAATATTATTTTTAAAAATTACCCAGGGAAGTCAACAACCATCATGCTTAACAAGAAAAGATAAGAAAGGGTCTCAAACACAGGAATTAGGAAAGTAGGCTTTCACTTACACTAAGCTTTCACTTGTACTAAAGGTTATGCCTCCACCATTTAAAAAAAATTGATTAAATAAAAAGGTACAAAATAAAGTTGTCTTTTCTAACCATTATTATTCAATATTGTTCTGGTGATTCTGGATAATGAAACAAAGCTATAAAAAATAATAATATGGATGAATAATGAGAAGAAAAAACCCTCAACTTCTAGATATGGTTGTTTATCCAGAAAAATCCAAACAAATCAATTCAAAAACTTACTAGAACTAATAAGAGCTCAAGAGATAGCTAAATACAATATTAACATATATAAATTGAGAGCATTAGTGAATGCTAACTTAACCAGTTAGATATTATAATATGAAAAAGCCCACTCACAATATTGAATATTATAAACTTATCTAGTTCAAGATATACATGTGTAAAGCTATAAAATCTCCCCAGACTTAATGTACTTTCAATCAAAATCCCAATGAATGGCTGGGCACCCGTAGCTCAGTGGTTAGGGCGCCAGCCACATGGATCACGGCTGGTGAGTTAGAACCCAGTCTGGGCCTACTAAACAATAATGATAATTGCAACAAAAAAATAGCTATGGTGGGCGCCTAAAGTCCCTACTTGGGAGACTGAGGCAAGAGAATCACTTAAGCCCAAGAGTTTGAGGTTTAAACTCTGTCTCAAAAAAAAAACCCATTGAATATGTCAGTTTTTAAACTGCATAAATTGTAAGAGCAAAGAAAATACAAAGTTATTTTTGAAGAAGAATGGGCAAAAGCTACAGAAATCCTTACAGTAATAAGGATTATTACAGGAATAGTCAGATCATTGCCACAGAATAGAGATTTACAAACAGGGGATTCCTGAAATAAAAAGCAGGAACCAGCCTGATGGAAACAGTTTAAAAATTAACAGAACAATATTTAGAGCTGACAAGCAAGAGAAAACTCGTATTTCAACGTAAGGAACCGAACCACAGATAAGTGCCTGGAAACCAAACCACAGATCAGATGGTGCTGGCACTGACCATCCCTACAAGAAGTAATTAAGATGTAGAGATTAAGTAAGAATGATACAATAGAAGCTAAAAATAGATATAATTTATAGAATATATAAGAAGGAGTTTGTACTGGAAGGTGATGAGCCATTTCTGCCACCCCTCTACTATTTAGCTTTGTCCTAACTTTGTGAAGGTTTTCTTTGTCTTTCAGTAGACTCTGACGATCTTAAGGCAGTATGTGTCTTCAATTTCAACCAGGCTGTCCCATCTTCTGGGAAGAGAAGTTCCAACTGAGAGACTCTGGCTGTGGT